ACAAACTATCATCTGGTTCACAAAATAGCAAGGTATCAACGGCAAAGAACAAATGAGTGATCTCAAGCTGTTGTCTCCCTCTACCAATATTAACTCCCCTAATCAAATCCAACTCCCTGACTCTCTCAAGTAATCTGCTCAGTGTCTCCATAACAATGAAAAATAATAGAGGTGAGAGAGGGTCTCTCTGCCTAAACCCCCTGGAAGCCCTGATGAAAAAAGACGGTCTATCATTCACCATTACAGCAAAAGATGTAGTGGAGATACAAGTCCATATCCATTTGCTCCATTTACTTCCAAATCCCATCCTCCCCAACATGTAATCCACAAAATCTCAACTCACATGATCATATGCTTTTTCTTTATCCAATTTGCACAAGGCTCCCTCTTATTACCCATCAAGTCATCCACCATTTTGTTGGCCACCAACACAGCGTCCCTTCGATAAATGCATGTTGACTCTCCTCACTCACTTCCCCCTAATACCTTGGACAATCGCCAAGCTAATATTTTCAACTTGAGCTTGTAGATACAGCACACCAGATTGATTGGGCAAAAATCTTTTATATGTTGTGCACTCTCTATCTTTGCAATAAGCACCAAAAAGGTTGAGTTCAATGATTTTACAAATGACCCTATTCATATAGTTCTTTACACACGTCCATCACATCACCTTTGCCAATAAACCAAAATTCTTGTAGAAACTTCATGTTGAAACGGTCTAGTCCTGGTGCCTTGTGTCTGTTATATCATCTGAGTCCATCATAGATCCCTCTTCAGTGAATTCTCTTTCTAACTCAATTCTGCAGGTCTCCCCAAACATCCTGAACTGGAGCCCATCCAACCGTGGCCTTCTGTCAAACTCTTCTTCATATAAGCTCTGAAAGTAGCTTTGAGCCTTACCTCTCATATTATCATTCCCTCTCACTCTGTGATTACCATTAACCATTTTATCACCATAGTTACGTGTCCTCCTATGGCTGGCCAAATAATGGAAATATCTTGTATTCCTGTTATCTTTTTTTAACCATTTTTCCCTGGATTTCTACTTCCAAGAAATTTCCTCCTGTGGCTGCCAAAGGTGAAATTCAGCCTCGCACCAAAGGCAGTCCTGGAGCAGCGGACAGTGTCAAGATGGGAAGAGTTCCCAATTCATTGCAGAACCGTCCTGAGTTGGCACCGGCAGCAAGCACCATATCAAGGAAAGGAGATATCATGGAATATGCCTGCAGATAATGAGGACAAAATTTCTTGGAAAGTTTACAGCCATGGGACCCACGACAAGTGGAAGCAGAAAGCAGTCCAGTGAGTTAAGCGGTCCGCAAATTTGGCTGTGAAATTAGGAGTTTAGGGATATGTGCTAGGCAATTGAGATGAGAGTTTATCTTTCATTGAATTATGTTTTATTTAGGAGTTGGCATTTGAATAAACTGGATCTGAAATTCTGGACACCTAAGAGAGATCTGATCTCAAACAGCTTCCACATAAATGTCTATTATCATCAATAAAAGATTATTGAATATTTTATCTAAAAGTTAGAGTTACTCTCAGAAGGTTGGATGCACTCTAAAGGAGCCTCACCATAGGCAAGAGATCGGAAAAGCAAGCAGCAGCCTTGCTCTGCGACTTCACTTTTAAGGCCCCTTGGCAGACCTCAGGCACAGGACCATGAGCGAGCTGCTTTGGTTTTCCTTTTTTTTTTTTTTTTTTGGTGAGGAGGCTCTGCATTGGTTTTTATGCTCTCCTTTTTTTCGTTTTCTGTGGTTAAGAGGTTTTCTTCTTCCCAACTGATGTACTCTTCTCTTTTCTCTCATCAATAGTATTTTTTTATCCATATATACAAGAATAGGTAAAATTATATGATATATGAAGGCATTAAGAAATAAGTACCCTCATGAAAAAGATCCTTGAGAACACGATCAAGAACTGTTGGCGGGGGTATAACCATTGATGACTTCAGATTATCAGAACTAGGATTTTCAACTGCAAGAAATAAGAGAGCATGATAATGAAGTGAACTGAGAAGTCAAAAGACCAAACATGCAATCTCCATCTATAACAAAGGCAAGGGAATTTACAAGTTAAAGATTATTTTTAAAAGATATATATATATATATATATATATATATATAAGATGAAATCCTCTAATTCAACCTCTCTTGTGCCCTAATCCCAGTCACATTCTACGAATTCCATGAACAATTTGGCTTTCTACTCTATTCAGCATTTTTCATGAGAAAATGATTACAAATTTTTTTTTTTTAAATAAAAGTATTGTAAATTTATAGATACCAAGAAGGTACCACCCATTTACATCTCAATTACAACACAATCAAATGATCCATGACATTGCCACTATCATCAAATTCATCGATGTCATGTCCCAAAAAAAAATGATCACAAATGTTTGCATAGAAGAAACAAACCTGATACAAAATCCTCCATGAATTGAGCTTCAAAGGACATATTCAGTGCATCAACCAAAAGGAGCAATTGGGAAGCAAAGCCAGTTTGGTTTCCCTTCGAACTCTCGGTTCTGAAAAAAACAATGTTTCGCCTTAGAAAGGAAAGAATAAATTACAAATCATAATGTCTCACAAGAAAATGAGTACAAATTAGGAGAAAATAATAAAATAACAACAAAATTGTATAACATGGTTGCTAAAGCAGTAACAACCAAAGGCGTCAATTAACAAAAAGATAACATAACAATAATACAAAAATGTTATTAAAGAGAAAACGGAGAAATGATTCTTACAAAATTGGGGACAGATGCGGGATTAGAGTCCACTTCTTAGCCTCATGAGGTGAAGCGTTTTCCAGTTCAGCCATCTCTAAAGAGCTTTCCACCATCTTCTCCGGCCGTGTGGCAATTAAATCAAATCCTGTTTGCATTTAATTACAGAATTTGAGGAGCAATATCTTTCCTATATTTAAACACTCAAGGCAACAGATCCTTAGATGCTTAATGACCAACATCCCTCCCCTTTAACACAACCACACAAGACACGCGCACACAAGCAAGCAAGTGCCAAGCAAAATTATAAGGAAGATAGAGAAAGTCAAAGAAATATGCTCATGGGCTCATGTGCACAGATGCAAATGGATTGCACGCATTCCAAAAAATAGGTCAGGGAATAAAAGTTAGGACTGAAGAGCCAGGAATGTTCTGTGTTCAAGATGGACAAAGTATTTATCTCAAAAATGATTGCAATCACTGAAGACAACAAGAATGGGAGTTCTTTACCTTTAACTGGATCTTCAGCAGAGTACCACTCGCTCCAAGGACAGTCATCATCCCATTGTTTTTTTTGACGGGTGTCACCATCTTGTCCAGATTCAGTATTTCCAGAAAAAGTTTCTTGAATATCATCCACATTATCATCATCATAGGGAAGGGTATGATAGGTTAGCTTCATCATAACATGGACTTTAAAAAGATGTACTGCAAAGTCCAATGTCGAGTATGCCTTCAACATCAAAAGAAAATATGTTATAATAATTCAAAGGGGGAAAACAAACCAACACAGATTCAAAGCATGACAAATACGGATATCTACACAGTTGGATGAACTTTGAGTTCAACTTGAGCAGAGATATAAAGCAACTAAAAAAGGATGAAATTATTTCAGTTCTCTATAACATTTAAGTTAAGTATGACATCACCTTTGCACATAACATCTACACAAGTGTGTTTCCTTGCACAGTTTCAGTTTCTATTAGACCAATTATAAATCAGAATGAAAGAATATAACAAGATTGTTCCTTGGCCCGCAGATCAGACAAGGTTAAAGTTCTAGCTCTTGCAAAGTAGTTTCTCACTAATGTCTCTGGCCTCCTGGGAGAAAGCTTTCTTCTTTTTCCACCTAAGCTGGGTGGGAAAAGCATAAAGAGGCAAGAGCGATAAAGGCACACAACCCACCGCATAACCTCACATCTTTGACCATCTATTTTCTAAATGCTCCCTAACTATCTTGATCCACTTCCCCCTTCTCTTTGGCATATAATGAGTGAGAAGTGTAGTCCTACACCCATCACATGGCACCCGACTTGGCATTCTAGAACAGGGTGTTCTCAACTTGTGAGCCAAGGTTGACCAACTCAACATACACTGACCTTAGTTAACAGATTTCTGGTTGTCCAGTACACCGTCACTCGGCCATTGCAGCATCTCAAGTGACTTTTGGGTTAAAGGCAGGCATGCAATCATACTTTAGGCAATATCAAGAGCAAATAGCGTACAGTAACTGGTATTCTGCATCTTGGAGCATCACAAACGCAATAAACACCTCATTTGCAAGCAGATTAGGGGAAGAAAAAGGAGGACATTGTAGAGAAAACAGATACTTCATAAGAATACAGAAACTCACAAACTTAGAAAGAAACAACTCGTACAATCCTTCCAAATGCATAAGTTTTACTGGGACCTGGCTACCAATATGATCTGCCTCAAACCTTCTAGTAAACACTGTTCCCATACTTTGTATGCCAATATATGCATTTCGTGAAGGATCGTGCACGGGAACAAATGCTGGCCACAAACTGCATATAAAAAATCATAACTTGAAAAAAGTAAAAAACATAAGATAATCACTAGTCAACATACTAAGGCTACCTACATGAGTCCATTTGTCCAACTCACAGAGTAAATAGTCAAATAAAGCAAAATACATTTAGCAAGAAGACAGTATTCATTAACAATGGTTCAAAAGAAAACTACTAAACTTGATATAAATCCGTCAGGGAAAAGAGACGTGCATGTTCTGAAAATCAAATATTAAACCTGATTCTAGAAGTGAGATATATCATAGAGGCCTATATGCGAAAATGTTTCTGCAATTGCTAAACAGTGAAGATTCAACCCAAAACCTACCTTGAACAATTTGATAAAGCTATTGCAACTGCACTCAGAAGCTTGCTAGCCTCTGGTGCATCAAGAATCACACCACTGGCACTTTGGGGAGCAATCACCTGAGCAAGCATAAACATGAATATGACAAATGCAGCAGAGAGTGTTTTGCAAAAGCTTACAATGCATCGTTAAATCATACCAGAAAATCCTTCACCCCAAAGCAAAGCTGCAGATCATGCAAACTGCAATTCCAGTCTGCAGTTTTTCCTGTACCAACTGAACCAAAGTCAAGAAGTAGAAAATGTGAATCTTCATCGTTAAGAGAAAAATTAGAAGGAAAAGTACTTTATAAGTACCACTATTGTCAATTTCGAAGTAGTATTCCATGCAATAGTTTTTTGCAACATTTTTCAAGTCAGATTTGACCTTATATATGTTCTTTGAGAAACCCAACTGAACTGCACCCTTTTCCTACAGTATGGTAATGCAGAAAATATATAATGGAGGTCAAGCAGTACAAAATCAAAAAAACAAACTGTTTCATTAAAAGAGAGAAGAATCAGCCACAGAATGAAAATAAGTGTGAGGTATGCCTTTCCAAGATTCCCAACTTAAACTTCAAATTAAGCATCAAAGCAAAAAGGAATCATTTGAAAAGAAAAAGAAAATAGTTAGCATGTAATGAGAACTGTAAATTGTGACCAAATTCACAGCTACTTCCTTCTTTCATTCTTTTAGCTCGAAAAAATTGAACGTAAATACTTCGCCTAACCTCTCCCACCTCTATACCACCTGAGTCATTCCATTAACAGCCCAAATTTGTTTTCCAATATGATAAAGTGATGATTTTACAAAATAGATAGTTTCAGGATAGGATGAGAATTTTCAGGGAGAAAAAGGATAGAATGACAATTTATCTGCACTTAAAAATCAACAACTAAATTAAACTGCAAAAAGAATAAATTAGTGAATCAGTCAAACAAATGAGTTTCTCTAGAGAAATACTCGAATATGAGCAGTTTGTTCTCATATTCATAGAGAAGCTGACAAAAGGTGGGAATGGCTATAGGAAATTCCATATTTTCTAGCATTTGTTACTCTTCAAGCACTAGAAATTTATGAACAATTTTAGGAATAGATAAAGTGAAGCAGTAGATTGCTTCAGTCCTTTCAGTCATAAAAACAAATCTTTGCAATAAAAGCAGCATACCAACAAATTTTTTGGACCATCAGCCAACCACTGCCGACAAGTTGCCTCTATGTCAGATATGAACCTAAGGATAATACAATTAGAGGTATCAGTTATATGCAGAAGCATGGAAAAAAGGAGGCAATATGTGCATAAAAAGTAATTAACTATTAGTAATCAAATACCTTTCCCAAGAAGAAGCAAGTGTAAAGTCATCAAACCGTTCCAGCTGCACCGGGGTTGTATTAAGAGGAAAAGGTAAAATATCAGTTTACTTCCTCACTAGTAAGTAATAAAAATAGATCCTGAAATTTCCTGTCCAATAGTCCATGATAGGCTAACAAAGGAAACACCAAATATAGCATACTAACATAATTTGTGTGAACTTTTCATCTTTGAACAATGTCCCAATATCAATGGATCTCAACATAAAATTTTCTGGTTTCCTACCTCAAGTTCCTTTAACCTCTCTCTGACGTCTAAAAACTTCAGTTTCACCCTTCAATTTTCAAGTCAATATAACCGTACTTCACTCCTTTCACCTTGAGCAGGCTAACACACTGAGATGCTCAACATTCATTGGAAAAGTTGCCATGAAAGCACATATGGAAAACAAATGCCACTCGGAGGTTCATGCTTTTCTTATGGTATCCTACTCAAAGCAGAATCTTAATAGTAACAACCTTCAGAAAATAAGTAAAACCTTGGTAACAGAGTGCTATCTTTGCCTCAACTAGAATGAATCTCCATCTCATCTTCTTCTTTGGTGTCCAAAGTTGAAAAGCTTTGGGAATCTGCTCCGACCCTCTTTAGTATTTATCGAGTATTCAGTACCTCAATCAAGGATGAACTGTGGGTATGGAATGGGATCCTGCCTCCCAAGCATCAGAAAGAATTTCTCACCTATTCCTCTTTCTACATGTCAGGTGACTAGGAAAGGAAGGAATCAAAGAGTTTTCAAGCACTCTTCTACTCCTTTTGCATCCATCGAGGATTATTGTTTTAGAACTCTCAGTTTTTTGTGCAAGGATTATCGCTTACTGGATGACATAGATATTACCATATTATGATCTTCTGTTTATAATTTTGTATATGTGTTGCAGCCACTGGTGGCCTTTATTTAATCTTAATTCCTTTTTCTCTCCCTGAAAAATAACACTCACCAGTCAAGTAATGTCCTTCCGGGAAGCTATTTGAAAACTATAAAAGATAATGGCGAATCCTATATTAAAACTAGAAAAGCAACATCGGATTGAAAACAAAAAGGTAATGCCACCATGGCTGTGCCACATTTTGTTTTCTAGGGCCCTAGGCAGTCAAACAGAGTTTGATAGAGCATGAAACTGCAGTTTAGCAGTCAATCTCACGCGCTAAGTTCTGCTTCTAGGTAACAAATTACTAGCAGATACCAAATCCTCATACATAATAACTATGCACACCCGTGTAAAGGAAAAAAGAATAAGAAAAAGGAGCTTACCTCCTCTTCTAAAGCTTCGTCTTCTTCAAAATACTCAGTCTTACTGGTCGAAGCCATGAAGATTGATGATGTTCCTTTTCTTTTCCTCTTTCTTTCTTCTGACTGTTAATCAGAAACTCAATTCAGTTAAGGCCGGAAACAAAGTCATAACTCACTTTTTAAACTTTCTTCTGGTAAGGTGAATTGATGGAGCGACCTGAGTTTCACATTTAAAAAAAGAAGGCAACGTCAGAATTTGAATAAATTAATTTTAAAAAAAAATACGAATACCTACGTGAAATCGCAATACATTAAGGTAGGTTAAGCTTAACAGTATCTTGCTGAATGTGCATAGACACAAAGGGGGATTGAAAATGAGATCTGTTGCTGTCAGGCAATTGGAAGTTGTAATGGACGAAGAAGAAGAAGATGACCTGTTGGGAGAGACGAGAGAACTTTTCGCGACTGGTAAGTGTCCAACGGCACCGTTTTATATTTATTCTTTAATTTCTATTATGTTTCCCTGACCTGGTGAAACGAAATGACCTTTGACAGTTTCATTTTATGTGATATTTTGTTTTATTTTATTTTTATACAATTTTTGATTTTATTAATCTCCATAATTTTAAAAATTATTCCTATTAATTCATATCTATTAATTTTTTAACATCATTAATATATTATATTATTTAATTAAATATTTTATTATGTAATATTTAATAATTTAAAAAATTAATAGAAATATAAGATATTTTTGGCCCTTTATAAAATAATATAAATTTATTAAAAATAAAAATTAAACTTTTATTTATTAGTTAACGACAGTTTTTTATACTTATTAAAATAATAATTTAATGTATCACATATTTGACATGACAATTATGTAATTATCAACAAAAAAAAAAAATCAAATGTTTGAAAATTTTAAAGACTTATCTGTAATTTACTTGGTGGGGAAAAACATATTTCCATCAGGCGAAAAGTGGGCCCCAAAATACTACGACATTTTAGTAAACTGGTAAGCCAAAACAAAAAAAAACAAAAAAAAAAAAAAAAAGAAATCAACGGCCGAAATTTCCCGCTACACATGATATTTTTTAAGCGGGGACACGTGGCAGATCATGGATTACCGATAGACCCCACCGGTTAGGTTCCATCAACTCATGTAATGTAAGCCCCACCAGCTTCATCATCGTCGCAATCAGAGGACCAAAAGACACGTAAGATTCCGGCAGCAATTTTATTTTGTTTGGACAAATGAGTTAGCCTGGTTCTGGTTCACCGGTTGAACTTGGATATATTTGGATCTGAAACTTGAAAAGTCAATAAAATACTTGATTTTATCTAATATCTTGTGTTATTTGAAAATGTCCATATAAATATATTTATTTATGTATAGATAGATTGGATAAATGTAAGGATAGCTTTTTGTACTCAAATTCACCTAATTTAATTCGTTTAAATTTGATTAAATGCAATTTTCTTGTTAGAGTGATTGCCCTGGTCAGATGGATTCGTGTTGATAGGGAAAAATTAGTGAATTTGAATTTAATCTTTTAAATTTCTGTTTGAATCTAAGTTAAGAATAAATATATAATTTTATTAACATAAATGTATTTATATTTATATTCATAAATATAATTAGTATATAATATTGTTGATATTAATAAATAAATTTTTTATTTTTAAAAATTAATAAAAATTTATTTATATTAATATAATAAAATGACTAAGTTTAAATTCAAATGATATAATCTACAAACTAAATATAATTTAATAAATAAAAAAATTTATTTATGTTCGAGTTTTGTAAAATAAATATGGTTATCATCTTTAAATAAAATTAATTATTGTGCACATATGTTTCATACGATAATTATTTAGAGCTTAATTTTTGTTATATTCTTTTTTATAATTATATATATAAAAAAAATTATTAATTTATTAATTAACATCAAGTAATCTGATAATTTAAAAAAAATAAATAAATTTAAAATTTTTTATAAAAACGTGTCAATCTAATATTACGTAAAAATATGTTATAAGTCTAATATGATAAAAGATCATGTTATATATGCAAAATCTAAATATCTTAATCTTTATTGATGAATGATTCAATTAAATTCGTAAAAAAAAAGTCATTTTTATTATGTTAATAAAATATTTGATTAATTTAATTTTTTTAATCAATTATGATTTTTTTAAACGTTTCGGTCTAAATTATTTTGTTGGATCCAATTTTGCTCCCCCTTACTCACACTTAAAAAAGAGGTGACTTTTATTGAAATAAATTATAATTTTAAAGGAAATAATATCTAAATGCTAAAGTTGGATGTTAGCTTAAATTTTAGAAATTTTTAAATTTTATTTCAAATATAACGTTAAAGAAAAACAAAAACTATACTCATATCTTACCTGACATACATCATCCTCTGGATCACAGCCTCACAGGCATCCTGAAAGAAAGGGCAGCATCACCCCTCTCAAGTGTCTGCATCGGCCCATCTACTGTCCTCACTCATAATCATTCTCTCAGCCTGGCACTCTTTATTTAATCACTCCCACCATCCCCAAAAGCTTAAACTAAACTATAACAAATTTAACAACCCCTTTCCATTTTCTCCTCTTGTCAGCGATCGCGCACCCTTTTTCTTCTTTCTTCATTTTTATATTCATATATTATATATCAATACAAATATAGGTACACAGTTTCGAAATCTGAAGCAAGAACCAAGGAGCACTTGAGCTGTTTGCTTATTCTGCTGCTCAGCTCGAGAGGAAAGTAATGGCTGCTGCTCTGGAGTGCTGGTCGAGTCGGGCCAGTACGGACGAGGACATGGTCGAGCAGGTACTGATGCGGACGCAGGACAGGTCGGAGGGGACGGTGCCGGAGGGCTCTGGAGCTGGAGCCGGAGCCGCCGTGAAGGAGCCGACGAATGCTATGCAGAAGCGACTGCAGCGGCTGACACGGAACGTGTCGGAGGCCATTGCCTCGTTGAAGAACACGCTGAATCTCGACTCCGCACGTGACCAGCATGTTACAGCTTCGGGGGCTGGAACGGCATCGTCCAAGATCGAGGGCTGTAAGAAGGTTGTTTGGGGCAGCGTCGTAAGGAATCTCACGCAGTTATATCCTGGGAGTCAATTGCCGGAGAAGCTCATGTCGAATATAAGGAAGCATTATGATTCGTTGCCTCTCAGGTAATTAGATTTCGACTCACGTTCTGTTAGGTTGCTGAGAAAATGCAGGAAAACTTAAAAAAGCAAGGGAAATGGGCTAGATAAGGGGAAGTAAGTAATCTTATTTAGTTACTGAAACAACGGGGTTCTGTTTTTTTTTTCTTTTTTTCTTTCAAGGTTTCCTGCAAGAAATATTTGTTGTATTGAAATATAAATCCTAGTTTTTCTCTTCCAAAATTTTTTTCCACTTAGCAACTGAACTGACCATTTGGATTCTTATTTGGTACTGTTGGTAGTTGGCGCTTAACCTTTTCTCATTTTGTTTATCACTCTTCATCATCATCATCATCATCATCATCTTCTTCTTATTAACAGTTACGCTCAGGCTGGTTTTGATATGAAAGAGGTTTTCCTACATATAAAATTGATAGAGCAAGCATCAGGAGACGACCATCCTGCAATATTAATTCAAGAAGTTTCTGATGATGAAGTACAGGGTTCTGTATTCAAGCTCACATTTGCCTGTAACTCTTTGATTTCTTGGCCAGCCATGTCGGGTGCACTTGATAGTGCCTCCATTTGTTGTAAGAAGATACAGATCTTCGAGAAGAAGGGGTTCACACTCGGGATTATTATTCTTTTGGTTCAAGCTGGGCATGAAAAATTGTTTAAAATCCGGATCGAAAGTGCCTTGAAGTCTGCTATAAAGAAGCCGAAACCCACTTCAGTGAAGCTGCCATTTGGGCTTTGTGGGTGTCAAGAAGAGAACACCAGGGGGAGAGAATTTGGGGAGATTGAAGAAGAACCTACGGAGCAGAGTTATAAAAACGGGATTGAGAATTTGAACATGAAGATCCAGCTTCAAACACCGCTGCCTAATTCTTCATTTGTTGTCTCAGTCGACGAATGGCAGACTATCGTATCTGGTGCTGATGAAATTGGGAAATGGTTGCTTAACTCTGACAATCTTGAGTTTATTGAGCAGATTGGCACCAATTCTTTTAAAGGTGTTTACAAGGGCAAGTGTGTTGGAATCGAGAAACTCAAGGGCTGTGAGAAGGGAAATTCTTATCAATTTGAGCTTCGGAGAGATCTCTTGGAGTTAATGACTTGCAGGCATAAGAACATTCTGCAGTTTTGTGGCGTTTGTGTTGATGAAAATCATGGTTTGTGTGTTGTGACGAAGTTGATGGAAGGTGGATCAGTTCATGACTTGATGCTAAAGAACAAGAAGCTTCAGACTAAGGAGATAATTAGGATTGCAGCTGATATAGCTGAAGGGGTCAAATTTATGAATGATCACGGTGTTGCATATAGAGACGTCAACACACAGAGGATTCTGCTAGATAAGCATGGGAATGCCTGTTTAGGGGACATGGGGATAGTCTCTGCTTGCAAGAGTGTTGGTGAAGCAATGGAGTATGAAACTGATGGCTATCGGTGGCTAGCTCCTGAGGTTTGTGTTCTTTTACTTGATTGTAGTTAAAAAGTTCACTTAATTCATGTTATTATTGTTGACGGTAACTATAATTGTTGGATGCATGATCGTGACGGTCATCATGTTATCAGAGCATATCCCAGTAACCCCCATCAATAATGTCATTAGCATTAGGTTATAAAGCTTTAGAATGATTACCTCTAGAATGGTATGTCTGGACCGATGGCGCAAATTTCTTCCTCAAATGCTGAGAAAATAACTAGTCAATGATCCGTAATCATGAGGTTATTAGAAGACCTTCTATTGATTGCTTCCTTATGGAATTTCTGAATTTATTCTGAGTGAAAGTTCAAATGCTCCTTGAGTTGCTATGCAATGCGGTTTGTTTTATTGTGAACTGGGAGCAGTCAAGGCACAAATGTTCTTCTGGTTGGAGCTTGTTTGCAGCCTTGAGATATATGCTAATACAGTCTGCATCTATACATTTTTTCATACATATAGCGTCTAGGCCCACCTCTTTTTCTCTGTGTGGGGGAAGATGGACAGATGAGGTGAACTGTATAATCTGTGGCATCTATTAATTACTGCAATTTCAAGGAAACCTTTTTCTGGGTTTTTCTAAATATTATCTAGAATCATATTATTTCTACTATTTCTTGACATTGGACCTTATCTCGATGCAATGAATTGAGGAGTAAATTTCTTGGAATCAATCTAATTTTTCCAAAAAGGAACTTTAGTCTCTTATCTCAACATAATTTTATGAGCATGCTTAACGTGTTTTAATGATTATTTTGCTTTAATCTTCAATTTAATGCTTACCTTTATGTAAGCACTCATATTCTCTCTTAAACAAATCATCTTTTGGCTCTCCTTTGTAGTGGTGGCACTTTTGGCAAAATGGTCCAAATAGTGGAGCCCGCAAGTTGGAATTTTTATTATTATCATTATTTTGCATTTATAGTCTTTCTGGTCCTAATCAATTTTAAAGCGGCTGAAAGAACTTTAAATCTTCCTGATCTAAACCAAAGATAGACAACTTTCATATGCTCCGAGCCTTTCCAACTGCGTTTGTGGTTGTCCTTTTCTCCTAGTGAATAAATTTTATGAATGAAAATAATTGTAAAAAGTTATCTTGACGATTCTCTTTTGACATCTAGGATATTTGATAAATTCAGACAATTCTCGTTTTATCTGAATACAGATATAACCAGGATGGCATTATTGAAAGATTTTGAATAAAACCTTATTGTTTTGGAGTTGCAGAATATCTTAATAAATTAGAAAGGATTCATTGAAGGAAATATACTCTATTGTGTTTGTTCTCTTTACTAATAGGAAAATTTCACAAGTAAAATGTACATCCAGTCCCTTCTTTTGGTGTTTAGGAGTTGAGATGAAGTTTTTCCCTCCCTTTGATATTTTTGGTTGAAAACAGATTATTGCTGGTGACCCGGAGAATGTTACTGAGACTTGGATGAGTAATTCATACAGTTATGGAATGGTGATTTGGGAGATGGTGACTGGTGAGGCAGCCTACTCTACATGCTCCCCTGTGCAGGCAGCAGTTGGGATAGCAGCATGTGGCCTAAGGCCAGAGATTCCCAAGGACTGCCCTCAATTCCTTAAATCTCTCATGACAAAGTGCTGGAACAATTGCCCGTCAAAGCGGCCTCAATTCTCTGAAATTCTATTGATATTGCTGCGGCCCAACAACAACAACAGGTAAAAATCCTTTTAGATTCCATCAATTGTAATTTACTGATGCTAAAAGCTTGTACAAAGGGGTTCCCTTATCAAGTCCATGCTACCATGCATAATGCATATTTGGGAAGCTCTAATAGCAGAAATGATGATAGATATATCTTCATTCTTTCCCCAAGTTGTATCCAATATATATGTCCTCTTTTCTTTCATAATTTCATATAAAAGTATTCCTTATATACCAGCCAAAGAAGAAAAGGAATAAAATATTGATGTTGTTATTGTTTCCATAAGAATGTCTGCCATAATAGGCGTACTAAATTTCACTCATGGTGGTGATGTGAGTGGGGGGAATAGTTTAATGTCTTATGCTCGTGTGTCTTATATAATAATGGCTAGGCATTTCATTTTTGGTTGCAAAAGGCTAGGATACCCGGATAAGAAAGGTTAAAAGCAAAGAGCAAACAAGATTGTAGTTGATCTTATGGGCCAACAAGTTCCTAGTGACACGAGGGAGTATTGCAGTCCAGGTTTCCTTTTGTTTGCCTGATGGCTTTCTTGAGGGCCCAAGGGATATGTCCCTTTTACTTTGTTTTTTGTCTGACCGGGGGGGGGTTTGCTTTGTGAGATAAATAAAAATAAAAATTAAAAAACGCCACACTTAGAATTTCATCTCATCACTTCTTTTCCCTTGACGTTTAACTTTGAAGCTTCAGCTCCTATGGGTCAGACCCAAGAGGTCACATGTTGGAAGGGTAGTTTTGGCTTGACATGCATGTCCGTTACACTCATGGCCAACTTACATGGGTACTTTTTAATGGTTGTGCTGGATTCTGGACCTCTAATTATTTGAGCTCTGAAAGCTTTTGAATACAAATAGCAATTGTGATCCCACTAGGACATGTTTAAACGTATCAGGGGTTAGAAGTGATCATAGATTTACAGTATGTAGATTTTCTTTTAATATTTTGTTTAGCAAATGAAGTCATGTTGATTTGGTGGTAGTCAAACAAGTTGGGTCCAAGACAGGGCAGTCGCCTTGTAAAGCCCAAAAGACCAAGCTCTGAACTTTGTTATACGATTTGGAATTCTAGTTAAAGAGCCCAAACAGTGTATTACCTAAATTGAACTGTGTTTGATAACAATAACTCGTAATGGATTAATAATGTTTCCCACCAAAGAAAATAGCCCACTTGTTATTTATTATGTAGGCCACTCTTCAGTTATCCTCACTTGCAGGGCAAGAGAAGAATATATTCCTTGGGTTAAATTATAATGGGAATGGATTATATATTCCATGTCTATGATAAATTATTCTATGCATCTACTGCAAGCCACTTGCAATTTATTTTAATAAATATAAATTTTCAAATTTTATTATAAAATACTATTTCACAAAATATCTACTACACAAGAGGCTTGCTAATCTTCAATGTTTTGTAATGTTTCTGTTAAATTGTAGTTTTAATATTTAGTTTAATTATAATTGATTAAACAAGTTTTTAATTATTATTTTAATGCATTTGACTAAACTATTATGTAATTTACACAGTCAAATTAAAATTTAAATATGTTTAAATAACTTAACACTTATGACGCTTCAAATGCATCCAAAATTTTTAGAATACGTTAGTAATTATTATTTTAAATAATTATAAAGATGGCAAAATAGGTTAAGACCATTAATGCCTTTGACTAATTGGCATTAAAGTTGGCAAAAATTATCATTTTCATTTGTTAGTATTATTAATCAAACTACCATAAAATGCATATAACATTAACAGCATTTATGTTAAAAGCTGTAATTTTATAAAAATAAAAGTGGACAGTAATTTATTTTACATTTAAAACATAAAATTATGGTATCATGAATAATGTTTTCAGGGGAATAAATAAAATAAATCTGTTTATATTGATACATTATATTTATTTGTCCACTATAATCATAATAGTTAAAATAGTATTTTGCCGATAATATTATCACAGGACTCACGTGACCTAGACGAAGCACCCTTTCAATGTGCGTGCAGAAGCCTTCTTTAACTGTGTTTGTCATGCTTAAATATTTAATTTTTCATTTCTTTCACTTAATTATACTAATAATAAAAAAAAAATTTGCCCAAACAAATTAAAATATTAGCAAATAAACCAATTTAAATTTATTTAATCTATTTAACTAAACAAAATCATGCTCAATCGGCAGTTTTATGCTATGTTTTAGCAACTAAAATTTATTTAAAATTGTAAATTTTATTTATGATTTGACAGTACCATTAGATAGATAGTGAGAGTACCATGGTGCTGTAACGAAACGACGTCGTAGAAAATCCCATGCTCTCCTCCATGATTGAATCATGTACCTTCCTTCTCCCAGCTGACTTTATCCTCCTCTCCCCACATCACAGCCTTTCTCTATCTCTCTCTCCAATGAAGAGAGAGATGGTAGTAGCACAGCACAGCACACGCCGCGCCAACCCAAAACCCTAGAGCCCAAATGCAAATCCATAAATACCCCTCTCCCCATCCTATATAAACCCGGCCAAGCTTAGCTATTATCTACTCCTTCCAAAATTACTCACCAAGCAAACCAAACTTCAAATTTATAACCAAGAAAATTAATAAAGAAAAACTTTAATACCGACAATTTACCCTCTTTCTCTCCCTCTTTCAGATTCCATTATTCTCTAAACCTCGGTCCTAATCGGTACGTTTTCTGGTTCTCTTCCGGTAGATTGTGTGTTCATTTTTCTTTTTCATTTCATTTCCACCCGATAATCATGTCGAGGCTAGGTTTAGGGTTGTGGTTGATGTTTTTGTTGCCGATCGTAGTTGGATTTTCGGTTTTCAGCACTCATTTTGAGCTTTCTAGGTTGTTGAATTTATCCATGGTATTGATTGTAATTTCTCTGTGGTTTTCTGGTTTATTCGGCAGTTTACTGCACTATATGCTTCCTATAAAGAGACCTGGTGAAAGGAGTGGTTGTAGAAGATGGTAGTGAAGGTATCAACAACAACACGGGTGCATCGGCGTTGAAGAAGCATCGGATCGACACCGGTGTCTCCCATCCCGCGGCCATGAATCGACGGCTAACAACAATTCCGTCGCCGCCAACAGCAACAATAACAGCAGCGGCGACAGTGAAGCCGCACCGACGCCGCAGCCGATCATGGCTTTGGGCGAATCCAATCAGTCGGACATTGATGAGGACTTGCACAGCCGACAGCTGGCGGTGTACGGCCGCGAGACGATGAGACGGCTTTTTGCTTCCAATGTCCTTGTCTCGGGGATGCAAGGTCTTGGTGCAGAGATTGGTATGAACGCTCATAGCATTTCCTTTTCCTTTCCGTTTAGCATTGAATGCCAATTTTCTTATGGTAGCTGAAGGTAGCTTTCGTTTGAAACATTTTTATTACACTGCTTGTACTACACGAATTATTCTTCTGTTTTCTCTCTCGTTCTAGGACTCATTCTGTTATCATTTCTGATTGTGGCAGCAAAAAATCTCATTCTTGCTGGGGTCAAATCTGTTACATTGCACGATGAAGGAGTGGTGGAATTGTGGGATTTGTCCGGTAATTTTCTTTTCTCAGAGAACGACGTGGGAAAGAACAGAGCACTTGCTTCTGTTCAGAAGTTGCAGGAACTCAACAATGCAGTGGTTGTTTCTACCTTAACAACACAGTTAACCAAAGACAAGCTTTCTGATTTTCAGGTGCTTATTCCAGAAATTAGAAATGCCAAAATGGGAATTAGATTATTAGAAATGCAAGAAAATTCCATGTTCACAATGCGAAAATATAAAGGAAGTCCTATGAATGTGGAAGATACACCGGATTAGTTGATCCAAATTTGGAATTGATTGTCAAGTAATACATTAACTATTTTGTTTAGTCAAAACAGAATTAAGTTTCCATGAATTGACTAGTTTCATTAGTTTGCTATACTACTTTTTATTTCAAAAAAAAGTATTGTTTTAAAATTCTCTATGCATTTTTTTTCTTCATGGATTCCAATTTGTTCAGGAAAGTAATGATACCACTTATTGTGCTGGAGCATTTTCTTCTCTATAGATGCAGTCCCCTGTAGAAAAAGTTTGAATTAGCTTGTGGTGGACGGTCGATTGTGATCACTAACAAATTAAGGCTGTCAACAATATATTTTTGCTCAATTATTTTTTTGTTTTAGTATTACCTTAAACTGGAGGCTGGGGCTGCAGGAGAATGTCTTCTTCTGTGGTCTATTTCATTAGATAAAAACCAACATTTGACTGTGCATGTTAGAGGAGCTGTTTACAGTTATTATTATCTTAAGAACTGAATTTTTGTGAGGTTTATATACACGCATTGAATGCTCCTGCATATATGTAGCTATATTCTCTTGTTAAATTAAATTGAACCTTGAATTTCTGATTATATAACTCTTATGTAAATGTACATTTCCTTTTAGGTACCACCTTGTTCTTCAGGTTTTCCCATGTTTGGTTTGTCAACAGAAGAATTATGATTTTTTTAATGTTGTATTTGCTGGATCTGAAGAAGATCTATCATTACTTCAGAGTAAATGTCCAACTTAATTGTTTTCCATGTGTCTGTGTATCAATTTCCAGGAAGATGATTTAAGCATGAGGTAGATGATATAGGGAACAAATGGGGCAGTTTTGGTGGCAATTATTTGCAAATAAAGCCTTTTTTTTCAAGTATAGCTACAGCTTTTTGTTACACCGTTTGTCCATTCAAGAGCATAGAATTTGAGAACCTAGTAGCTTTCTTTTTTCATTACATGGGATTCTGGTAATTGTGATTTGAACTAAAAAACCTGTATTCATTCATCCATCAAGCACCTGATTTAAATCTGGGCAGCTATGGAAGCTTTTTGTTTTTGGTTTCATCCTGGTCTTGGTTTCTTGATTCTTGTTTGTGCATGTATCACTTGTTTCTTCTTGGAAAGGTTTTCTTAATGTATTTTGTTTGCTGCATCATGCACCTATTTATCTTTTATTTGGTGCAGGCTGTTGTTTTCACGGATATAAGTTTTGAGAATGCGGTTGAGTTCAATGACTATTGCCACAATCAACAGCCTCCTATTTCCTTCATCAAGGCTGAAGTGAGAGGTGTTTTTGGTTCTGTGTTTTGTGACTTTGGTCCCAAGTTCACAGTTTTTGATGTTGATGGAGAGGAACCGCACACAGGAATAATAGCATCCATAAGCAATGACAACCCAGCTCTTGTGTCATGTGTGGATGATGAAAGGCTTGAGTTTCAGGATGGGGATCTTGTTGTTTTCTCTGAAGTTCAAGGAATGGCGGAGCTTAATGATGGAAAACCCAGGAAGATTAAAAGTGCAAGGCCATATTCTTTTACTCTTGAGGAGGATACCACAAATTTTGGTACCTATTTGAAAGGCGGTATTGTCACACAGGTGAAGCCACCCAAGGTATTGAATTTTAAGCCATTGAGGGAAGCACTCAAAGATCCGGGCGATTTTCTTTTGAGTGATTTCTCAAAGTTCGATCGTCCGCCTCTTCTGCACTTAGCTTTCCTAGCACTGAATAAATTTTTATCTGAATTGGGCCGCTTACCTGTTGCTGGTTCAGAGGAGGATGCTCAGAAGCTTATATCTCTTGCCAGTAGCATCAATGAGAGCTTGGGAGGGACTGTGGCAGATATTAACCCAAAGCTTTTGCGGCACTTTGCATTTGGTGCCAGGGCAGTTCTGAATCCCATGGCTGCCATGTTTGGTGGCATTGTTGGACAAGAGGTTGTCAAAGCGTGTTCTGGAAAATTTCATCCCCTCTTTCAGGTTTGTATTCACCTTTTTATTTTCCCTTTGGTATTGTTATGAAAAAGTGGGCATTTAGGATTTTGTTTGAAAGGGACATTTACGATAATATTATTGTTGTGTTGTATCTTACAAGGATCGATTTACATTATCACACTCCTACATGGACCCCCAGGTTTTTGCACAAACGCAGCAAGGACACACATGTAGATGAAAAATATGTTTGTATTGATTGACTTTTCTATGCATATT